AATATTCATGGCTGTCACTTCCATCAGCTCCTGATCATAGTGCTGTAGTCAGCAGGAATAAATTACACAACAGCAAGCCTGGCTAGATACAGCCACAGAGTGTACAGTAATCCAAGAATATAGCCTAATGGTATTATCGCTGGACTGTTAATCCAGAGACCCAGATAACGCTCTGGGGACCCAGGTTCGAATCCCACCATGGCAGATGGTGGAATTTGAATTCAGTAAATATCTGGAATAAAGAATGTAATGATGACCATGAATCCATTGTCGACTGTCGGAAAAACCCATCTGGTTCACTAATGTCCTTTAGGGAAGGAAACGGCCATCCTTACCTGGTCTGGCCTACATGTGACTCCTGACCCACAGCAATGTGGTTGACTCAACTGCCCTCTGGGCAATTTTGGATGAGCAATAAATGTCAGCGATGCCCTCATTCCATGAATGAATAAAGAAAAAAAAAATTGCCACAGAGATGGGAATACAACCTTAGCACCAGATCCTGGCAGGGCATTAGTGAAAGTTTGGCTTTAGAGGGGAAAAAAACCGTCAATTTTGAAAGCATAGGGACTAAAGAGAACTAAATATTCATGTAAAAGGGGAAAAACTGTAAGGATATGGGGAAAGGTGAGGTTGTACACCTAGTACCTTCAACTACATGGTATAAAAAAAACCATTAAAGAAAGATAATTTCCCCACTATCACAGGAAAACAAATTCTTAATTCATTGGCAGTGTGTGCTGTATTATCAGCCTTCAGGCAGACAGGCAGGTTCAAATTAGAGGTTACCCATCTATTATTGAAGATAAAATACAGACTAAGCAGCTGCTTCATGTGGGATCAAACCCTGTAGAAGGTGACCTCAATTCCACAGCCTGCCTGGCAGGAATAACTGGATCCGATTTCAGACCTTTGTTGAGAGGTTATTTGAACCTGCAATTTTCCACCCCCAAATTACCAAATACATTATTGAATTGTTAGCGTTTCTGAAGGACAACATTCTTCAAGATTCTGGCTGGGAAGAACTGGCATTCACTATCCAGGGGTCATATTGGAGAGACTGTAAAGGACAGATAGTGCAGAAACACACAACATCCTCATCATGTGAATAATTACTCTGTCTAGCAAGAGGCCTTCATGTCTGCCGGCGCATTCAACTATCGATCTGAACCTATGCAGACTCACGTCAACACTCTGCTCCCCCTCAATCAATGAACTGTCATTGATTTGATCCTTTAAACCTAAAAAGGTCTCAGTTGAGATACAAACTACCTGAAGTGATTTAAAAGAAAGGATTTATATTATCACAGTACAGAAACTGACCATCCAGCCTGGTAGGTATATTATGATTCTGCTCTGTGTGAGCTACCTCCCAACCATTAACAGCATATCAAGTAGGTTGTACAGAACCAGAGTTGTTTAAGGATTAAAGAATTTCATTGGCAGATTATAGATTCAGAACGAACTGACAAAACAGCATTACTAGAGAGATCTCACACGCAGATACGAAAGATTGCAAAGGCAGGTATTTTAAAAGGTTAAGTTTTGAAGAATTCCAAGTTCCACAGTGACTTTTTAAAAAAAAAAATCAATTCAAACAATTCAATTCGAGTCAGTGTGTAGTGCAGGCAATATGAAACCCTTTTTCTTGATCATACTGGTAAAACCCATTACATTTTTCAGTAAGAGCAGAAATGTCACTTTTAAAATGCAAGACATTGAGTGAAACGAGATATTCTCATGTAAATTTAAAGTTGATACAATTAAATACCCAATTTTATCTCACTACATTTATTTTATTCATTCACAAGATGTGGGCGACACTAGCTAGGCCAGTGTTTACTGCACATTGTAGGAGGGCAATTAACAAACTCAACGGTGAGCAATAGGAAAGCGACTGGAAATGCAGACATCATTTGAGTGGGCCTCAGAGTCAGCACAGGAAGTCAGCTGTATTCAAATGGGCAGCTGTGCTTCCTCCATTATGATATTTACCATGCTTCAGAAACACTTCACTAGCTGTAGGAAATTCTGGGACATCCTGGATTTATAAAAGGCACTGAAAACCCTTCTTTCCATCCCCTTAAGCAAGTTCGAAATGCAAGTGCAGAGTGTCACCAGTATCAGGCAAGCTTGCAACCCAAACAGCACAAAATGGAATAATAATGATCACAGAGCTATGATATCAGATCATAGCTGTAACCAACAGGATGATTTCTAATACCTTTCCTAGGGTAGAATGCTTCACAGTAATCACCAGGCTTATTATATAGCACAGCACTAACTGCACCTGGCCTGAGAGGCATACTCTCTGCACCATCTATGTTTCTACAAAATTATTAAATGCAAGCAGAGTTTATCCACGTTCAAAACAAAACAGTAAAACTTATTCCAGTGCATCACAGTGAATTACTGTCAGGAGTATAGGCAGCCATCAGGTGGGTAACCAAATTAACCAGTGACTGGTGAAAAGAATGTTAGTGAGGACAATCAGGCAATGACAACTTCTGACAATAAAAATCTCGCCAGATGAGAAAAATAGATGAGGAACTCAGATCACTGTGGGGGAATCAAGTGCACAGCACGGAGGCATCAGCACCACCACATAAATTAATCTGAATTTCAAGAGAATCAGGAGCAGAGGTGAGTGCAGTGGCCATTATTCAGGAGGAGGTGCAGGGGAACCTGAAAGGACCAGACGGATTCCACCCCAGAGTTTTGAAGGAGATAGCAGAGGAGATTGTGGAGACATTGTGGTGACCTTTCAGGAATAACTGTTGTCAGGGATGACCTCCCCTTGACGAAGCTGTGCTGACTCAGCGCTATATTACCATGCACTTCCAAATACTCTGGCGTCAGGGAAAGTCTCAGAGGACAGGAAAATGGCTAATTTAACATCCCTATCTAGGAAGGAAGGCAGAAGACGGGAAACTATAGGCCAGTTAGCCTGACCCCTGTCATTGGTAAGATTTTAGAGTCCATTATTTAGGGTGAGATTGTGGAGTGCATGGTAAAATAGGATGGAGTTAGCATGGCTTCATTAAGGAGAGGTGATGCCTGACAAATCTGTTCGAATTCTTTGAGGTAACAAGCAAGTTAGACAAAGGAGAGTCAGTTAAAGTGATCGATTTGGATTTCCAGAAGACCTCTGACAAGGTGCCGCACAGAAGGCTGCTAATTAAGATAAGAGCCTTTGGTGTTAGAAGCAAGGTACTGGCATGGGTAGAGGATTGGCTGACTGGCAGAAAGCAGAGACTAGGGATAAAGGGGAAGGTTTCTGAAATGGCAGCCAGCGATTAGTGGAGTTCCGTAGAGGGCAGTGTTGGAACCACAACTGCTCACGATATACATTAACGATCTGAACGAAGGACAGAGGGAATTGTTGCTAAGTTTGCAGATAACACAAAGATAAGCAAAGATACAGGTAATATTGAGGAAGCAGGGTGGCTGTAAAGGACTTGGACAGGCTTGGAGAGTGGGCAAAGAAATGACAGATGGATTAGTGTGGGAAAGTAAGAGGTTATGCACTTTGGCAGGACGAATAGAGGCATAGCCAACTTTCTAAATGGGGACAGGCTGTGGAAATCTGACACACAAAGGGATTTGGCAATCCTCGTTCAGAGTTCCCTTGAGGTTAGCATGCAGGCTCAATTGGTAGTTAGGAAGGGAAATGCTTTGTTAGCATTCATTTCAAGAGGGCAAGAAATAAGAGCAAAGATGTATCACTGAGGCTGTATAAGGCTCTGGTCAGACCACATTTGGAATATTGAGAGCTGCTTTGGGCTCCATATCTGAGGAAAAGGTGTGCTGACATTGGAGGGTTGCGGGGGTCCAGAGGGGATTTACAAGAATGATCCTGGAGATGAAAGGCTTGTCATATCAGGAGCGGTTGAGGGCTCTGGGTCTGTACTCGATGGAGTTTAGAAGTAAAGAGGAAACTGTGTGATTGATGGACCAATTGCCTGAAACTCGTGTGAAGAAGTGAAAAGAATGTGGACAACAGAGATTCAAGAACATAAAATCCTGACAAGCAACAGGAGCATTGCAGTGAACCCTGTAATCTGAGGCCATTGAATTGCTTCCCACATTTTTTCCCCTCTTCCACCCATAGCACCAATTTTTCCATGCCTGTGCCATACTGTATGTGATTGTAGAGGGAGAGGGTTTAGAAGAGGGCTAAGGTTTTAACTGGTAGCTGACAATTCATTTGCTTTCTTATGGTTAAAGTTGTACTAATGCTGCACATAATCCTCCTGCCATCATACTGTATCTCATTGTATGGAAAACAGTAGTTCTCGTTAAGTACAGAAATGTGACCCATGTTTTCACTAGCCTGGGTCTAACTAACAGGTAAATTGGAGTCTCTGTATACTTTGATAAACGCTTAACTTTTGTGATGACTCTGGGGCTTGATTTCCAGAGTGCTATCCCCATGAGGGGTGACATTGACAAGTCAGTGTTGGGCAGAATGAGATAAAAAAGAAAATTAATGTTTCTCTCAGACAATGGCATTTCACTATATTGCACAGGGATTCATTTCTTTGCAGAGCCATTAACCTACAGATGGAGACTATTCAGCCCATCAAGTCCATGCTGGCTGTATACAACAATCTAGTCAACATATTTCCCAGCATAATCCCCACACTCCTACAGGTTCACTTCTCTCAAATATAAATGTAATTTCCTTTTGAAATCATTTCTCATCTCTGCTTCCAACAAGGTCAAAGAATCTGAAGAGGCACCTGATAAAGATGTGCAAAGATGAAAGGATTCAATAGTTTGGAGACTTGATCACTTGTGGGGAAGCCCAGAAGTCAGGTGCATAAATCCAAGACAGTCAACAATGAAGAGAAGGGTGCACTGACAGGGTGAGATACAGTATGATGGCAGGAGGTTGTGTGCAACATTAATAAAATTTAGACCATTTAGGATGAATGAACCATTTGATTTGTAATACTTAGCGAAAACCAAACTTTTGCATATTTTAAAAAAAAGCTTACCGACACACATTCTTCCAATTATTCTGCATCCCGCAATGGAAGCATGGACCACAGGAATAGTCTCAGATAACTCGCCTTCAAAAACTCTGAAAGAAAAACAGTTTGTTAGCAGCAAGCTCTCACCAGTTTGATTCACACAGTTTTCATGCAAACAGAGACTAGAAAAGGGTTTTGTGTAGATTTGTAGATCGGGTTGTGGACGTTCAGGTTGGTTGGCTCATCGAGCTGGTTCGTCGTTCCGCAGACGTTTCGTTACCATCCTGGGTAACATCATCAGTGCAGCCCCTGATGAAGCGCTGTTGTGTTTTCCCACCTGTTATTTAAACTCTGGTGTCCGTTGAGCTGGATTACCTCACTTGCGGTTTTCCTTCGTAATGGAGTGTAGATGGGGTTAAGCTCTATGTGTTTGTTGATGGCTTTCTTCGTGGAGTGCCAGGCTTCCAGGAATTCTCTGCTTTGCTTGTCTCAAGATCTTGGTGTTGTCCCAGTCGAATTGGTGGTTCTCCTTATCCATGTGGATGGAGATAGTGAGTATCGGCTGTGACTTTTTGTAGCCAATTGATGTTCGTGTACCCTTGTTGTTAATTTCCTTCCTGTTTGTCCAATGTAGTGTTTGTCACAGTCTCTGCAGGGAATCTTGTATATGACATTGGTCCTGTCCATAGTGGGTAGTGGGTCTTTGGTTCGGGTGAGTAGTTGGCGTAGGGTTGATGTGAGTTTGTGTGCTACTCTGATGCCCAGTGGTCGTAGGAGTCTTGTAGACGAAGGATGGAGGGAATTGTTGCTAAGTTTGCAGGTAACACAAAGATAAGCAAAGATACAGGTAATATTGAGGAAGCAGGGAGGCTGTAAAAGGACTTGGCCAGGCTTGGAGAGCAGGCAAAGAAATGACAGATGGAATAGTGTGGGAAAGTAAGAGGTTATGCACTTTGGCAGAAAGAATAGAGGCATAGCCAACTTTTTTAAATGGGGATAGGCTCTGCTCTGGGGGATAACACACTGCAGCAGCACAGAGCTACGGCAAGAAGAAGAGTACCTCTTCCAGGTATTCAAAGACATTGGATACCCAAAAAACTGGGTCAGAAGATGCCTATTACACGAACGACACCAGGAAGATACGACACGCCCCGGCACACTCATCACGCTACCTTACAGCAGGAACACATCTGAACTGGCCACAAGACTCCTACGGCCACTGGGCATCAGAGTAGCACACAAACCTACATCAAACCTACGCCAACTACTCACCCGAACCAAAGACCCATTACCCACCGGACCAATCCACAGGACCAATGTCACATACAAGATTCCCTGCAGAGACTGTGACAAACACTACATCGGACAGACAT